CACTCCCACTTTACAAAAATCCCATCTTTTGCCAGTTGGAGCCAGAGTCTGCGCAGTATTGATCTGGGTTGGCACCGCGGTATCAAGGTCCCGCCCCTACGCCCGGCCGACTCAGTCTTGAGCAGGGCTCAACTGTTGATTGCTTCAAATAACTAATCAAAACTAAAGGTGTCAGAAAAATTAACACTTGAACAAACATCAGTTTGATAAGAACTAATGTCATGTTGTCCCATCTGCTAACATGAAGGCAATGAGCATTATGACGTATACTGTAGTCAGCCACCAGAGGGCAGTAGGGCTGTCACTTTTTCCAAAAATCACGTTTGAACAAATTTTTAATGACGCAATTTGTTCGAATGAATTCAAATAAATTATCTATAAACACAAAGTAAAATATATGTATGCTCCGCTCATCTTGGACCCTTCGCTCCACTGCCTCACTTCAATGGCAGGCTAATGTTAGCAAGTGAGTCTGTAGATTTGGTGATGTAGAGTTTGACAGCTGCGACAGAATCACACTGTTTCTCAGATGCTTTGCTCATCAGTGTCCTCGTAAAAAAACACATATACATATATGGGTCAGAATATACTGAATATACTTTATGTCAGTGGGATGTTGGTAATGAAACAGGTTTGGTACCAACGGGTCAAAGCCTAGTTTTTTTACTCATATGAAGTTGGTTGCTTGCAAAACATGACAATCGTCATTGTGATGTGGGTGTTTACTGGCATTTGCCTTATCATGTATGTTAATAAATAGAGGAAGTAAAGGTGGTCTTTTAACAGCCTGACATCCGTCTTCTGCTTCCAGATCACAGAGGAAAGACAGATTTAAAGACGACGTCCTTCTTCAGTGTAAGTAGAATTGTTTATTGATGTGACTGATGCTGTTTACCTCCTGTGTACATTATTATTTTACCTGCTGACATGTTTTATTGTCTCTGAAGCCTCACAGAGAGATGAGAGGAGCGGCTATGAGTTTAAGTGCAGCAGCGAGTGGATTTGTTGTCTTCCTTCTCTCTGTGTCAGATACTGTATATCTACAGTTACATTCACTGCATTAAAAGAGGGGGATCTGGGAAAATGTTGAAAGAAGTGGATCAAAGTTGTGTGAAAGACTTTTTGTGAACAATTGTTTAAACTTTCTAGACATTAATTTGTTTTCCTTTATTTTGTGTCATTTGTAATATTAAAATGATCTTATATTTCTTTTGCCAACGTCTTTTGATCTCGTCTTTTGCATAAAGTAGCTGTGTGCTGAGGACTTTTATGTATGATAACTCAAAGTATTGTTTGAGTATCTGTTTCCTCCTCACTCTGTGCAAACGTATTGCTCTGTTTCTCACAGTGAATTCACCACATACTGAGACAAATGTTCATACATCTGCACCACATCCTGCCGCTTCCTTTTCATACCAACCTCAGTGTGATATTCCCATGCTATGTGTTCAGTGTTTGACTTTTGTCTCATCTTTATATCATAGCTTCTGCACATTTTTTCGACACCTCAGTGTTATGCATTTGTTTTTAGTTTTCACACTTACTTCAGCAGCAACATGACCAGAGTGAACAGAGAGGGAATTAGAAGCAGACTGTCTCATAATTAATATTCATCCTCTTATACTGGTCAGTAAATTGTATTAAAGGTAACAGGTTCAATAATTCAAATTTAATTCAATTAAATTGTATTCCTATAGCGCCAATTCATAAAAGGAAAGTTAGAAATAGCATTATAATAATAGCAGAAAGAGAGAGAGAGAGAGAGAGAGAGAGAGAGAGAGAGAGAGAGAGAGAGAGACTTGATGATGATGTACTGCCTCAGTCACATAGAGATAAACTATAGAAAGCATGTGTACATCTTCCACTCTTTCTTTGCACTGACTGTGTAAAACTGAGCAAATATTTCTCCATGTATGTGTTCACTCTGGTAATTTCAGTCAGACAACTCACGCTTTAAATGTTTATTACAGCAGTACAGCATGTTTTTATATATAAACACATATACATATATGGGTCAGAATACCTAAGGACTGTCAGTGCAATTGAAGTTTTTATATATTTTTTCAATATTTAAAATAAACACTGTAATCAGTCACTTTTTGCATCCAGTACTGAGGCAGACTTTATGTCAGTGGGATGTTGGCAATGAAACAGGTTTGGTACCAACGGGTCATAGCCCTAGTTTCTTACTCTCTCATATAAAGTTGGTTGCTTGCAAAACATGACATCGCCATTGTGATGTGGGTGTTTACTGGCATTTGCCTTATCATGTATGTTAATAAATAGAGGAAGTAAAGGTGGTCTTTTAACAGCCTGACATCCGTCTTCTGCTTCCAGATCACAGAGGAAAGACACCTTTAAAGACGACGTCCTTCTTCAGTGTAAGTAGAATTGTTTATTGATGTGACTGATACTGTTTACCTCCTGTGTACATTATTATTTTACCTGCTGACATGTTTTATTGTCTCTGAAGCCTCACAGAGAGATGAGAGGAGCAGCTATGAGTTTAAGTGCAGCAGCGAGTGGATTTGTTGTCTTCCTTCTCTCTGTGTCAGGTACTGTATATCTACAGTTACATTCACTGCATTAAAAGAGGGGAATCTGGGAAAATGTGGAAAAAAGTGAATCAAAGTTGTGTGAAAGACTTTTTGTGAACAATTGTTTAAACTTTCTAGACATTAATTTGTTTTCCTTTATTTTGTGTCATTTGTAATATTAAAATGATCTTATATTTCTTTTGCTAACGTCTTTTGTTCTCGTCTTTTGCATAAAGTAGCTGTGTGCTGAGCACTTTTATGTATGTTAAACTCAGAGTATTGTGGGTATTTGAGTATCTTTTTCCTCCTCACTCTGTGCAAACGTATTGCTCTGTTTCTCACAGTGAATTCACCACATACTGAGACAACTGTTCATACATCTGCACCACATCCTGCCACATCCTTTTCATACCAACCTCAGTGTGATATTCCCATGCTATGTGTTCACTGTTTGACTTTTGTCTCGCAGGTCGCAGGTTCAATAATTCAATTTTTAATTCAATTCAATTTTATATTTATAGCGCCAATTCATAAAAGGAAAGTCAGAAATAGCATTATAATAATAGCAGAAAGAGAGAGAAAGCGAGAGAGAGAGAGAGAGAGAGAGAGAGAGAGAGAGAGAGAGAGAGAGAGAGAGAGACTTGATGATGATGTACTGCCTCAGTCACATAGAGATGAACTGTAGAAAGCATGTGTACATCTTCCACTCTTTCTTTGCACTGACTGTGTAAAACTGAGCAAACACTTCTCTATGTATGTGTTCACTCTGGTAATTTCAGTCAGACAACTCACATTTGAAATGTTTATTACAACAGTACAGCATATTTAGATTTTAGTGTCTAGGCTCCGACCTCATCATTCCCCGCAGATATGTTTACATAGAGATATTGGGGAGTGGTGCTGGGATCATCTTCAGTATGTCTGTTACAACAATGGACAGAAGATTAGGAGAGGAACATCTTCATATTCAGTCTCTGTTTATCCTACAGACAGCTATTCCTGTGGTGTACAAGGATATGAGAAGTTCCCCTCTCCACCAGTGTGTGAGTTTACTTACAGTCTTCCACTAACATAACACCATCTGATGGAGCCTTTAACCCGTTTACTGTACCTTAACTAATTCAGTGTTATTTGATGATTCATGGTGAAGAACTGGATAAAACCCAAATCTCTTATTTTCTGTTTCACCATAAATTATGAAAAATAACCGCTCTAAACAAGATTTGTGGAGTCTTTAGAGTTTGTAAATTCTTTGTGTGTCCAGACTCTTGGAAGAAATGACGGAGGATATTAAAATGACAAGAAAAACCTGTGCTTCTCATCATAGATATTCCCTGATTTTATGTTCTTCTATAGTTAGTTGACACTTCTCGTCTTTGTTTTTCAACTTGTGATTCAGCAATCTTGACCCTTAATTTCAGATATATATAATAAACAATTTTATTCAATTCAATTCAATTCAATTCAATTCAATTTTATTTGTATAGCACCAATTCATAACAGAAGTTATCTCAGAACACAAATAGAGCAGGTATAGACCGAACTCCTTATAACATTATTTACAGAGACCCAACAGTATCACCATGAGCAAGCACTTAGCGACGGGGTGCAAGGAAAAACTTCCTTTTTAAGAGGCAGACAGACAGACAGACAGACAGACAGACAGACAGACAGCAACAACAGTAGCAACAACTACACACATAGTAGTGACTGATGATGACCATGAAGAAGATGATGGCGACGACAACAATGATGGGGCACAATGAGCAGTGATTATAGTAATAATAGTAACAGTAGTAATAATAATAGTAATAATAATAATAACAATAAAATCAGTGATATTAGCAATGGGAGTAAAGCAGGATTATTATTATAATATATATTATTCTGGTCACTCCAAAAAAACAGGACTGAAAAGATGTTTCAAGTTGTGAGGAATTACAAGTTGTTAGTGTTACTATTGTTCAGACTTGGGGAGTAAAAGGCTGCATGTAACTAATAATATCAATTTAATCCATTATAGTTTCAGAAAAGAGATGTAATCACATTACAGTTACATTTAGTAAAAATTAGGATAACTAGCAGGATTACATTTTAAAATACATCACTTTTAACAAAGGTTCCTAGAGTTAGACTGTTCTATTGTCTTATAGAATACACTTACATCAATACTTCTGACATTTATTTCTCTTGTTGTTATTTGCATGTTTAGTGTCGCAGTAGTCCAAAAGCAACAGAAAGCTTCTTTTCTTTTCTGTTGTTCAGCATTTATATTGTACATCTAAATGTCCAGTTCCACTGTGAAAACCTATTATTATATCAAAGTTAAAAGATGTTCATGTTTTCTCCTCCAGATGCTCCGAGGGTTGCCTCTGTGTCAGTGAGTCCCTCTGGTGAGATAGTGGAGGGCAGTTCAGTGACTCTGACCTGTAGCAGTGATGCTAACCCAGCAGCTAGTTATACCTGGAACAAGAGGAATGGAAATCGATACCTTCAACCTCCCAGTAAAGAACCACAGTTTGTCTTCAGGTCCATCCAGTCCTCTGACTCTGGAGAGTATTACTGTACAGCTGAGAACAAACTTGGGAGTAGAACATCTGAATACATCTCTATTAATGTGAAATGTGAGTAAAATGTAGCTGATTTAAAAAGCATCTTGTAACTAATGACAACTGTTTAAAGCTTTATTACTCAGTCAGATGTTTTGCTGATCATGCATTTTCTTCAGCTCTGTCTGTTTCACATTCACAGTCTGCTGCTGTAGTTCACTTCAGTTCAACACATTTCAATCATAGTTATGTAAAAACATTTACTTCTGTTTGTGCTTAAAATTGTGAGAGCACCATTCTTCTCCTCTTAGAGTTTAATGTTTATTAGTCAAGTTGCCACACACACGCACGCACGCACGCACGCACACACGCACGCACGCACGCACGCACGCACGCACACACACACACACACACACACACACACAAACACACACAAAACTGAAATTCTTTTACTTATCATATTGTCACTGCAGTTGATCAGTTTATTGGACCATTCCCCACAAATATCAAACCTACCATGAAGAATCTTGGTATCATCTTTGACCAGCATATAACTTTTAACCATCATGTTACAAAACTGTTCCAGTCCTGTTTCCTTCAGCTACGAGATTTAAAAAAATCAGATGCTTCCTGTCTTCCAGAGATCTCAAACTATTAATTCACACCTTCATTTTCTTCCGTCTAGATTACTGTAATTCCCTCTACACCTGCCTCAGTCAAGCTTCCTTCAATCATTTACAGTTAGTTCAAAATGCAGCCGCCAGACTTTTAACCAGAACCAGCATCAGTCCCACATTACTCCTGTTCTCACATCCCTCCATTGGCCTCCTGTAAAATACAGAATCAACTACAAGATCCTGCTGATTACATATAAATTAATGCACTTCATGACCTTGCCCCCCATTACATTTCAGATCTCCTTGTTCCTCATTCCACTCCTCAACCACTGCGCTCCTCAAATCTTGGTCTTTTATCCATTCCCCGCTCTAACTGCAAAACTAAAGGTGACCGTGCCTTCGCTGTTTAGCCCCAACACTGTGGAATCACCTTCCCCAATCACTCAGATTGATGAATCCTTGGACTGTTTTAAGCAGCTCCTCAAAACCCTCCTCTGCAAGCCTTTTTATAGATCTCCTGTCCTGTGTTTGTTTACTTATTGTTGTTGTCTCTCTTTTCCTCTTGTTTGATTCATCTGTATGTTAGTATTTATATGTTGTTTATGTATGTATATGATTGTATATGTTTGTGTGTGTATACATTGATATGTATATATGTGTATATATACGTTTGTATGTGTGTGTTTATATTTATTTGTTTGTTTGTGAAGCACTGTGTGACTGTGTCCTAAAAAGTGCAATATAAATAAAGCTTGACTGACCTATTCTTACAATTTTAGGCCCAAAGTCACAAGACAGCGTCTACTTGTTGATGTGTGTGAAAGGAGTGAATCAACATCCCCTTTATGGCTAATATTAGCTTCCTATTTTGCCTGTTGTTCAGCATTTATATTGTACATCTTAATCTCCAGTTCCACTGAGAAAACTCGTCTGCATCTTAAAGTTAAAAGATGTTCATGTTTTCTCCTCCAGATGCTCCAAGGGTTCCCTCTGTGTCAGTGAGTCCCTCTGGTGAGATAGTGGAGGGCAGTTCAGTGATTCTGACCTGTAGCAGTGATGCTTACCCAGCAGCTACTTATACCTGGTACAAGAGGAATGGAAATCGATACCTTCAACCTCTCAGTAAAGAACGACAGCTTGTCTTCAGGTCCATCCAGTCCTCTAACTCTGGAGAGTATTACTGTAAAGCTGAGAACAAACTGGGGAGGAGAACATCTAACTACATCTCTATTAATGTGAAATGTGAGTAAAATGCAGCTGATTTAAAAAGCATCTTGTAACTAATGACAGCTGTTTAAAGCTTTATTACTCAGTCAGATGTTTTGCTGATCATGCACTTTCTTCAGCTCTGTCTGTTTCAAATTCACAGTCTGCTGCTGTAGTTCGCTGAGCAGCTACAGTAGATGATGAAAAGGCAGTTTTATTTACAATTGGCTCCCAGATCTGTACGGATGTTCAGGGGATTCAAACCATCAGCAATCCAGAAAACCATCAGTAAAGTTTCAGATGCTCCCACACATAAATATCCATCCAACATCCAATGTGGCCAAAGACTTCTGTCCTGTTATCAACCCTGTCTGACATGATCTTCATATAGTACTTAGTTTTTCCAAATACATTGTCAAGTAAACAAAATTGCTGGATGGATTTCGTTGTGTTGCAATATTTTGGGGATTGTACCATTAAGTCACCGGAGGACCCAAATACAGTGGAAGCTTTTACTGCAGAACAGTGAATACTATTTGATATTCTTATTGGTAACAGCAACACTGAGTATGAAAGTAAACATGTCAAACCATCAATGAAATATAAAGTCTATTGATTCCTGAGCTCATGACAACCTTAAGTATAATATCAATAAGTATATAGATCCAACTCTGCTCATCAATACTCAATCAGGGCCATCACTGCAGTATTTACAACACATTAAAATCATAGTTATGTGCTATAATTCGCTTTTGTCTATGTTTAAAACTATAAGAAGATAATTATAGTCTTCTTTTGGAGTTTAATGTTTAGAAGTCACATCATCTAAAACACACACACACACACACACACACACACACACACACACACAAACAAACACACACAGTGTAAAAGGACACCATGTAGTTTCTGATACTGGAAGAAATCAAGCTCCACCACTTTTTTTTGATAAACTAGAGTCTATTTCTGTTCCACTGTGAAAATGCAACCTCATCTTAAAATGAAATATTAAATGTGTTCATATTTTCTCCTCCAGATGCTCCGAGGGTTCCCTCTGTGTCAGTGAGTCCCTCTGATGAGATAGTGGAGGGCAGTTCAGTGACTCTGACCTGTAGCAGTGATGCTAACCCAGCAGCTACTTATACCTGGTACAAGAGGAATGGAAATCAATACCTTCATCCTCCCAGTAAAGAACCACAGCTTGTCTTCAGGTCCATCCAGTCCTCTGACTCTGGACAGTATTACTGTACAGCTGAGAACAAACTTGGGAGTAGAACATCTAACTACATCTCTATTAATGTGAAATGTGAGTAAAATGCAGCTGATTTAAAAAGCATCTTGTAACTAATGACAACTGTTTGAAGCTTTATTACTCAGTCAGATGTTTTGCTGATCATGCACTTTCTTCAGTTCTGTCTGTTTCACATTCACAGTCTGCTGCTGTAGTTCACTGAGCAGCTACAGTAGATGATGAAAAGGCAGTTTTATTTACAATTGTCTCCCAGATCTGTACGGATGTTCAGGGGATTCAAACCATCAGCAATCCAGAAAACCATCAGTAAAGTTTCAGATGCTCCCACACATAAATATCCATCCAACATCCAATGTGGCCAAAGACTTCTTTCTTTGGGTTCCTGGATAGCCCTTACCAGTCTATCTTCAGCTGTCACTGTCAATTAAAAAAAATAAAAGCCCAAGAATTACATTAAAATAAAGACTTCTGTCCTGTTATCAACACTGTCTGCTAGAAATTATCTTCATATACTCGTAGTTTTCCAAATTCATTTTAAAGTAAAAGTTCTTGCTGCCTGGAATTCATTATGTTTTTTTTATAAACTAGAGTCTATTTCTGTTCCACTGTGAAAATGCAACCTCATCTTAAAATGAAATATTAAATGTGTTCATGTTTTCCCCTCCAGATACTCCGAGGGTTCCCTCTGTGTCAGTGAGTCCCTCTGGTGAGATAGTGGAGGGCAGTTCAGTGACTCTGACCTGTAGCAGTGATGCTAACCCAGCAGCTTCTTACACCTGGTACAAGAGGAATGGAAATCAATACCTTCAACCTCCCAGTAAAGAACCACAGTTTGTGTTCAGGTCCATCCAGTCCTCTGACTCTGGAGAGTATTACTGTACAGCTGAGAACAAACTCGGGAAGAAGACATCTAAATCCATCTCTATTAATGTGAAATGTGAGTAAAATGCAGCTAATCTAAGAACTGATTAAGGCTTTATTACTCAGTCAGATGTTTTGCTGATCATGCACTTTTTTCAGCTCGGTCTGTTTCACATTCACAGTCTGCTGCTGTAGTTCACTGAGCAGCTACAGTAGATGATGAAAAGGCAGTTTTATTTACAATTGGCTCCCAGATCTGTACGGATGTTCAGGGGATTCAAACCATCAGCAATCCAGAAAACCATCAGTAAAGTTTCAGATGCTCCCACACATAAATATCCATCCAACATCCAATGTGGCCAAAGACTTATGTCCTGTTATCAACACTGTCTGATGTGATCTTCATATAGTACTTAGTTTTTCCAAATACATTGTCAAGTAAACAAAATTGCTGGATGGATTTCGTTGTGTTGCAATATTTTGGGGATTGTACCATTAAGTCACCGGAGGACCCAAATACAGTGGAAGCTTTTACTGCAGAACAGTGAATACTATTTGATATTCTTATTGGTAAAAGCAACACTGAGTATGAAAGTAAACATGTCAAACCATCAATGAAATATAAAGTCTATTGATTCCTGAGCTCATGACAACCTTAAGTATAATATCAATAAGTATATAGATCCAACTCTGCTCATCAATACTCAATCAGGGCCATCACTGCAGTATTTACAACACATTAAAATCATAGTTATGTGCTATAATTCGCTTTTGTATATGTTTAAAAATATAAGAAGATAATTATAGTCTTCTTTTGGAGTTTAATGTTTAGAAGTCACATCATCTAAAACACACACACACACACACACACACACACACACACACACACACACACACACACACACAGTGTAAAAGGACACCATGTAGTTTCTGATACTGGAAGAAATCAAGCTCCACCACTTTTTTTGATAAACTAGAGTGTATTTCTGTTCCACTGTGAAAATGCAACCTCATCTTAAAATGAAATATTAAATGTGTTCATATTTTCTCCTCCAGATGCTCCGAGGGTTCCCTCTGTGTCAGTGAGTCCCTCTGGTGAGATAGTGGAGGGCAGTTCAGTGACTCTGACCTGTAGCAGTGATGCTAACCCAGCAGCTACTTATACCTGGTACAAGAGGAATGGAAATCAATACCTTCAACCTCTCAGTAAAGAACCACAGCTTGTCTTGAGGTCCATCCAGTCCTCCTACTCTGGAGAGTATTACTGTACAGCTGAGAACAAACTCGGGAAGAAGACATCTAAATCCATCTCTATTAATGTGAAATGTGAGTAAAATGCAGCTAATCTAAGAACTGATTAAGGCTTTATTACTCAGTCAGATGTTTTGCTGATCATGCACTTTCTTCAGCTCTGTCTGTTTCACATTCACAGTCTGCTGCTGTAGTTCTCTGAGCAGCTACAGTAGATGATGAAAAGGCAGTTTTATTTACAATTGTCTCCCAGATCTGTACGGATGTTCAGGGGATTCAAACCATCAGCAATCCCGAAAACCATCAGTAAAGTTTCAGATGCTCCCACACATAAATATCCATCCATCATCCAATGTGGCCAAAGACTTATGTCTTTGGGTTCCTGGATAGCCCTTACCAGTCTATCTTCAGCTGTCACTGTCAATTAAAAAAATTAAAAAGCCCAAAAATTACATTAAAAAAAAGACTTCTGTCCTGTTATCAACACTGTCTGCTAGAAATTATCTTCATATACTCGTAGTTTACCAAATTCATTTTAAAGTAAAAATTCTTGCTGCCTGGAATTCATTATTTTTTTTTATAAACTATAGTCTATTTCTGTTCCACTGTGAAAATGCAACCTCATCTTAAAATGAAATATTAAATGTGTTCATGTTTTCTCCTCCAGATACTCAGAGGGTTCCCTCTGTGTCAGTGAGTCCCTCTGGTGAGATAGTGGAGGGCAGTTCAGTGACTCTGACCTGTAGCAGTGATGCTAACCCAGCAGCTTCTTACACCTGGTACAAGAGGAATGGAAATCAATACCTTCAACCTCCCAGTAAAGAACCACAGTTTGTGTTCAGGTCCATCCAGTCCTCTGACTCTGGAGAGTATAACTGTACAGCTGAGAACAAACTGGGAGGGAATACATCTGAATACATCTCCATTAATGTGAAATGTGAGTCAAATGCAGCTGATTTAAAAAGCATCAGTAAAGTTTCAGATGCTCCCACACATAAATATCCAGCCAACATCCAATTTGGCCAAGGACTTCTGTCCTGTTATCAACCATGTCTGACATGATCTTCATATAGTACTTAGTTTTTCAAAACTTACAAAATTGCTGTCTGGATTTAATTGTGTATCAACATCTTAAGGATTGCAGGAGCTTTTTGTACCACACACAGTTAAATATACTGAACCAACATCATCAGTTGGTACCATAAATTCACGGGAGAACACGAATGTAGAGGAAGCTTTCACTGCAGAAAAGGCTAAGATGAAGCTATTTTCATCTTTTCATCTTTTGCAGATGGTCCAAAGCTTCCCTCTGTGTCAGTGAGTCCCTCTGGTGAGATAGTGGAGGGCAGTTCAGTGACTCTGACCTGTAGCAGTGATGCTAACCCAGCAGCTACTTATACCTGGTACAAGAGGAATGGAAATCGATACCTTCATCCTCCCAGTAAAGAACCACAGCTTGTCTTGAGGTCCATCCAGTCCTCTAACTCTGGAGAGTATTACTGTACAGCTGAGAACAAACTTGGGAGTAGAACATCTAACTACATCTCTATTAATGTGAAATGTGAGTAAAATGCAGCTGATTTAAAAAGCATCTTGTAACTAATGACAACTGTTTGAAGCTTTATTACTCAGTCAGATGTTTTGCTGATCATGCACTTTCTTCAGCTCTGTCTGTTTCACATTCACAGTCTGCTGCTGAAGTTCACTGAGCAGCTACAGTAGATGATGAAAAGGCAGTTTTATTTACAATTGGCTCCCCAGATCTGTACGGATGTTCAGGGGATTCAAACCATCAGCAATCCAGAAAACCATCAGTAAAGTTTCAGATGCTCCCACACATAAATATCCATCCAACATCCAATGTGGCCAAAGACTTATGTCCTGTTATCAACCCTGTCTGATGTGATCTTCATATAGTACTTAGTTTTTCCAAATACATTGTCAAGTAAACAAAATTGCTGGATGGATATCATTGTGTTGCAATATTTTGGGGATTGTACCATTAATTCACCGGAGGACCCAAATACAGTGGAAGCTTTTACTGCAGAACAGTGAATACAATTTGATATTCTTATTGGTAACAGTAACACTGAGTATGAAAGTAAACATGTCAAACCATCAATGAAATATAAAGTCTATTGATTCATGAGCTCATGACAACCTTAAATATAATATCAATAAGTATATAGATCCAACTCTGCTCATCAATACTCAATCAGGGCCATCACTGCAGTATTTACAATACATTAAAATCATACCTATGTGGTATGATTTGCTTTTGTATATGTTTAAAATTGTAAGAAGATAATTAGTCTTCTTTTGGAGTTTAATGTTTAGAAGTCACATCATCTAACACACACACACACACACACACACACACACACACACACACACACACACACACACACACACACACACACACAAACACACACACACACACAGTGTAAAAGGACACCATGTAGTTTCTGATACTGGAAGAAATCAAGCTCCACAACTTTTTTTTTATAAACTAGAGTCTATTTCTGTTCCACTGTGAAAATGCAACCTCATCTTAAAATTAAATATTAAATGTGTTCATGTTTTCTCCTCCAGATGCTCCGAGGGTTCCCTCTGTGTCAGTGAGTCCCTCTGGTGAGATAGTGGAGGGCAGTTCAGTGACTCTGACCTGTAGCAGTGATGCTAACCCAGCAGCTTCTTACACCTGGTACAAGAGGAATGGAAATCAATACCTTCAACCTCCCAGTAAAGAACCACAGTTTGTGTTCAGGTCCATCCAGTCCTCTGACTCTGGAGAGTATTACTGTACAGCTGAGAACAAACTCGGGAAGAAGACATCTAAATCCATCTCTATTAATGTGAAATGTGAGTAAAATGCAGCTAATCTAAGAACTGATTAAGGCTTTATTACTCAGTCAGATGTTTTGCTGATCATGCACTTTTTTCAGCTCGGTCTGTTTCACATTCACAGTCTGCTGCTGTAGTTCACTGAGCAGCTACAGTAGATGATGAAAAGGCAGTTTTATTTACAATTGGCTCCCAGATCTGTACGGATGTTCAGGGGATTCAAACCATCAGCAATCCAGAAAACCATCAGTAAAGTTTCAGATGCTCCCACACATAAATATCCATCCAACATCCAATGTGGCCAAAGACTTCTGTCCTGTTATCAACCCTGTCTGATGTGATCTTCATATAGTACTTAGTTTTTCCAAATACATTGTCAAGTAAACAAAATTGCTGGATGGATTTCGTTGTGTTGCAATATTTTGGGGATTGTACCATTAAGTCACCGGAGGACCCAAATACAGTGGAAGCTTTTACTGCAGAACAGTGAATACTATTTGATATTCTTATTGGTAAAAGCAACACTGAGTATGAAAGTAAACATGTCAAACCATCAATGAAATATAAAGTCTATTGATTCATGAGCTCATGACAACCTTAAGTATAATATCAATAAGTATATAGATCCAACTCTGCTCATCAATACTCAATCAGGGCCATCACTGCAGTATTTACAACACATTAAAATCATAGTTATGTGCTATAATTCCCTTTTGTATATGTTTAAAAATATAAGAAGATAATTATAGTCTTCTTTTGGAGTTTAATGTTTAGAAGTCACATCATCTAAAACACACACACACACACACACACACACACACACACACACACACACACACACACACGCACAGTGTAAAAGGACACCATGTAGTTTCTGATACTGGAAGAAATCAAGCTCCACCACTTTTTTTTTTCTAAACTAGAGTGTATTTCTGTCCCACTGTGAAAATGCAACCTCATCTTAAAATGAAATATTAAATGTGTTCATGTTTTCTCCTCCAGATGCTCCGAGGGTTCCCTCTGTGTCAGTGAGTCCCTCTGGTGAGATAGTGGAGGGCAGTTCAGTGACTCTGACCTGTAGCAGTGATGCTAACCCAGCAGCTTCTTACACCTGGTACAAGAGGAATGCAAATCGATACCTTCAACCTCTCAGTAAAGAACCACAGTTTGTGTTCAGGTCCATCCAGTCCTCTGACTCTGGAGAGTATTACTGTGCAGCTGAGAACGAGCTGGGGAAGAAGACATCTAAATCCATCTCTATTAATGTGAAATGTGAGTAAAATGCAGCTAATCTAAGAACTGATTAAGGCTTTATTACTCAGTCAGATGTTTTGCTGATCATGAACTTTCTTCAGCTCTGTCTGTTTCACATTCACAGTCTGCTGCTGTAGTTCACTGAGCAGCTACAGTAGATGATGAAAAGGCAGTTTTATTTACAATTGACTCCCAGATCTGTACGGATGTTCAGGGGATTCAAACCATCAGCAATCCAGAAAACCATCAGTAAAGTTTCAGATGCTCCCACACATAAATATCCATCCAACATCCAATGTGGCCAAAGACTTATGTCCTGTTATCAACCCTGTCTGACATGATCTTCATATAGTACTTAGTTTTTCCAAATACATTGTCAAGTAAACAAAAGTGCTGGATGGATTTCGTTGTGCTGCAATATTTCCGGGATTGTACCATTAATTCACCGGAGGACCCAAATACAGTGGAAGCTTTTACTGCAGAACAGTGAATACAATTTGATATTCTTATTGGTAACAGCAACACTGAGTATGAAAGTAAACATGTCAAACCATCAATGAAATATAAAGTCTATTGATTCCTGAGCTCATGACAACCATAAATATAATATCAATAAGTATATAGATCCAACTCTGCTCATCAATACTCAATCAGGGCCATCACTGCAGTATTTACAACACATTAAAATCATAGTTATGTGCTATAATTCGCTTTTGTATATGTTTAAAAATATAAGAAGATAATTATAGTCTTCTTTTGGAGTTTAATGTTTAGAAGTCACATCATCTAAAACACACACACACACACACACACACACACACACACACACACACACAGTGTAAAAGGACACCATGTAGTTTCTGATACTGGAAGAAATCAAGCTCCACCACTTTTTTTTGATAAACTAGAGTGTATTTCTGTTCCACTGTGAAAATGCAACCTCATCTTAAAATGAAATATTAAATGTGTTCATATTTTCTCCTCCAGATGCTCCGAGGGTTCCCTCTGTGTCAGTGAGTCCCTCTGGTGAGATAGTGGAGGGCAGTTCAGTGACTCTGACCTGTAGCAGTGATGCTAACCCAGCAGCTACTTATACCTGGTACAAGAGGAATGGAAATCAATACCTTCAACCTCTCAGTAAAGAACCACAGCTTGTCTTGAGGTCCATCCAGTCCTCCTACTCTGGAGAGTATTACTGTACAGCTGAGAACAAACTCGGGAAGAAGACATCTAAATCCATCTCTATTAATGTGAAATGTGAGTAAAATGCAGCTAATCTAAGAACTGATTAAGGCTTTATTACTCAGTCAGATGTTTTGCTGATCATGCACTTTCTTCAGCTCTGTCTGTTTCACATTCACAGTCTGCTGCTGTAGTTCTCTGAGCAGCTACAGTAGATGATGAAAAGGCAGTTTTATTTACAATTGACTTCCAGATCTGTACGGATGTTCAGGGGATTCAAACCATCAGCAATCCAGAAAACCATCAGTAAAGTTTCAGATGCTCCCACACATAAATATCCATCCAACATCCAATGTGGCCAAAGACTTATGTCTTTGGGTTCCTGGATAGCCCTTACCAGTCTATCTTCAGCTGTCACTGTCAATTAAAAAAATTAAAAAGCCCAAAAATTACATTAAAAAAAAGACTTCTGTCCTGTTATCAACACTGTCTGCTAGAAATTATCTTCATATACTCGTAGTTTACCAAATTCATTTTAAAGTAAAAATTCTTGCTGCCTGGAATTCATTATTTTTTTTTTATAAACTATAGTCTATTTCTGTTCCACTGTGAAAATGCAACCTCATCTTAAAATGAAATATTAAATGTGTTCATGTTTTCTCCTCCAGATGCTCCGAGGGTTCCCTCTGTGTCAGTGAGTCCCTCTGGTGAGATAGTGGAGGGCAGTTCAGTGACTCTGACCTGTAGCAGTGATGCTAACCCAGCAGCTTCTTACACCTGGTACAAGAGGAATGGAAATCAATACCTTCAACCTCCCAGTAAAGAACCACAGTTTGTGTTCAGGTCCATCCAGTCCTCTGACTCTGGAGAGTATAACTGTACAGCTGAGAACAAACTGGGAGGGAATACATCTGAATACATCTCCATTAATGTGAAATGTGAGTCAAATGCAGCTGATTTAAAAAGCATCAGTAAAGTTTCAGATGCTCCCACACATAAATATCCAGCCAACATCCAATTTGGCCAAGGACTTCTGTCCTGTTATCAACCATGTCTGACATGATCTTCATATAGTACTTAGTTTTTCAAAACTTACAAAATTGCTGTCTGGATTTAATTGTGTATCAACATCTTAAGGATTGCAGGAGCTTTTTGTACCACACACAGTTAAATATACTGAACCAACATCATCAGTTGGTACCATAAATTCACGGGAGAACACGAATGTAGAGGAAGCTTTCACTGCAGAAAAGGCTAAGATGAAGCTATTTTCATCTTTTCATCTTTTGCAGATGGTCCAAAGCTTCCCTCTGTGTCAGTGAGTCCCTCTGGTGAGATAGTGGAGGGCAGTTCAGTGACTCTGACCTGTAGCAGTGATGCTAACCCAGCAGCTACTTATACCTGGTACAAGAGGAATGGAAATCGATACCTTCATCCTCCCAGTAAAGAACCACAGCTTGTCTTGAGGTCCATCCAGTCCTCTGACTCTGGAGAGTATTACTGTACAGCTGAGAACAAACTTGGGAGTAGAACATCTAACTACATCTCTATTAATGTGAAATGTGAGTAAAATGCAGCTGATTTAAAAAGCATCTTGTAACTAATGACAGCTGTTTAAAGCTTTATTACTCAGTCAGATGTTTTGCTGATCACGCACTTTCTTCAGCTCTGTCTGTTTCACATTCACAGTCTGCTGCTGTAGTTCACTGAGCAGCTACAGTAGATGATGAAAAGGCAGTTTTATTTACAATTGGCTCCCAGATCTGTACGGATGTTCAGGGGATTCAAACCATCAGCAATCCAGAAAACCATCAGTAAAGTTTCAGATGCTCCCACACATAAATATCCATCCAACATCCAATGTGGCCAAAGACTTATGTCCTGTTATCAACCCTGTCTGACATGATCTTCATATAGTACGTAGTTTTTCCAAATACATTGTCAAGTAAACAAAATTGCTGGATGGATTTCGTTGTGTTGCAATATTTTGGGGATTGTACCATTAATTCACCGGAGGACCCAAATACAGTGGAAGCTTTTACTGCAGAACAGTGAATACTATTTGATATTCTTATTGGTAACAGCAACACTGAGTATGAAAGTAAACATGTCAAACCATCAATGAAATATAAAGTCTATTGATTCCTGACCTCATGACAACCTTAAATATAATATCAATATGTATATAGATCCAACTCTGCTCATCAATACTCAATCAGGGCCATCACTGCAGTATTTACAACACATTAAAATCATAGTTATGTGCTATAATTCGCTTTTGTATATGTTTAAAAATATAAGAAGATAATTATAGTCTTCTTTTGGAGTTTAATGTTTAGAAGTCACATCATCTAAAACACACACACACACACACACACACACACACACAGTGTAAAAGGACACCATGCAGTTTCTGATACTGGAAGAAATCAAGCTCCACCACTTTTTTTTGATAAACTAGAGTGTATTTCTGTTCCACTGTGAAAATGCAACCTCATCTTAAAATGAAATATTAAATGTGTTCATGTTTTCCCCTCCAGATGCTCCGAGGGTTCCCTCTGTGTCAGTGAGTCCCTCTGGTGAGATAGTGGAGGGCAGTTCAGTGACTCTGACCTGTAGCAGTGATGCTAACCCAGCAGCTTCTTACACCTGGTACAAGAGGAATGGAAATCAATACCTTCAACCTCCCAGTAAAGAACCACAGTTTGTGTTCAGGTCCATCCAGTCCTCTGACTCTGGAGAGTATAACTGTACAGCTGAGAACAAACTGGGAGGGGAATACATCTGAATACATCTCCATTAATGTGAAATGTGAGTCAAATGCAGCTGATTTAAAAAGCATCAGTAAAGTTTCAGATGCTCCCACACATAAATATCCAGCCAACATCCAATTTGGCCAAGGACTTCTGTCCTGTTATCAACCATGTCTGACATGATCTTCATATAGTACTTAGTTTTTCAAAACTTACAAAATTGCTGTCTGGATTTCATTGTGTATCAACATCTTAAGGATTGCAGGAGCTTTTTGTACCACACACAGTTAAATATACTGAACCAACATCATCAGTTGGTACCATAAATTCACGGGAGAACACGAATGTAGAGGAAGCTTTCACTGCAGAAAAGGCTAAGATGAAGCTATTTTCATCTTTTCATCTTTTGCAGATGGTCCAAAGCTTCCCTCTGTGTCAGTGAGTCCCTCTGGTGAGATAGTGGAGGGCAGTTCAGTGACTCTGACCTGTAGCAGTGATGCTAACCCAGCAGCTAATTATACCTGGTACAAGGAGAATGAAGACTCACCAAAAACATCAGGACAGATCTTCACCATCACTGACTTCAGACCTGAACACAGTGGGAATTATTACTGTGAAGCCCAGAACAGAAGAGGACGCCATAACTCCACCTTACATCTGATTGTTGTAGCAGGTAAGTTTTTGCATTCAGCTGCACACATTCTGTACCAGAAGTCAGAAAGTAGCATGTGATATAATGCACCATCCATCTGTATCTAACCCTTCTCATCAATGTCTTCCCAACGTCAGGTAAAACGACTCACTGGGACGGGTTTACACAGTGAAAAATTACAGCTTTTTTAAAGAAAATGATTCATTTCAAAATCTATAAACTTGTATGTGTTCA